GATTTTTGACTCGCATCAAAGGTTGCAAAGGCGGGCAGCCTATCTGCACCCGGAGAGCCATTGACCATAGGCATAGTAGGCTCCGCGGTGAATGTTTGCGCGACCGTCTTCGACTCTTGTGCTTGCCGATTGTAGAAATTCTCTCCACTCATTTCAGCATTCTCGGCAATTCTCTTCTTACGCGCCTTCCGAGAGACCAGAGTGCGCCTCATAGCACATGTCACGACACCCGAAGCGGCTATGAGGATGGTGGAAGCTAGGACAATCCATCCGGCCCATTGTAAATGCGGCACAAAGAGCAGTATGTCGACGAGGAAAGCCAGTAAAGTGACGAGTAGGGTTGGCAGCAGCAGAATGAGGAGGCCTAGAAGATAGCGCGCCGAATGAGAGGGAGAGTGTAGGTGAGCAGCAGCTGCCAGTGCCAGGCAGACCAAGTTACAAAAGGCGGCGACAGGGTGGACGATGAGGAGAGAAGACAACGAGTGTCTGGCCGAGGAGGGAAGGTTGAAGTCTGTATCTCCGGTGGGGAAGAGGCCATCTTAGAAAGAAGTCAGTGACGCTCATGTTTCAGTAACGCGGCATCCATTATGTGGTTTGTTACCGGTTGTATATCCCACTCTGATGCCACTGCATTTCGATGGTGTGCAGTAGCCGAAGACGCCAAAATTAACTCCTTGATAGGTTGCGATGGGGATGCTGTGGATGACGGGCGTGGACAGAACCGATAGCAGGAGGAAAACGAAAGATATGAGCAGCAAAACAGTCAGAGGAGTGGCGGGCCTCAGCATGGTGTAGAATTGGAATTCGGGTGGGACGCTGCAGCTATATTTTTGTTTTCAGAGGGTCAACGGCGCAAAGCGCAACGACGGGTAGGAAGAGAGGTGTGCATAGAGGTTGACGGTGAGGGTGGATTTCAGCGAGCGGAAGGAAGACAACCCCGAGTACACCGATATTATCGAATTGGACAGCGGAATGATGGGAAACGGAGAAGAGGCAACGAAATAGTAGTAGTAGATAGTAGATGGTCAACGAGTGAGTTAGTGTAGAGTGAGGAAGGTGTAACTGCGTAAAACTGTACCTCGTAGTCGGAGTCGTAAGAAGCGTTTGAGGCGCAGTCGTCGCATCACCAACGAGAAACCGGGCAGGTGCAGAGGGCAGATGCAGATGTGCATGCACGTTTCTTGGAGGGAGCTTGGAGAGGGTGGGCACTGGGCAGGTGGGATATTAGGCTTGTGGGCGGGTGGTCACTGGTCACTGGGGGGCAGCAATCGTTCAAGCCTTGGTGGCACTAGCCTGGATTAAGGGCCGCTTAAGGTGGAGCGCAGGTGGGAGGAGCACGAGATTGGCCCCGGGGCGGCCTGGAAGTACCAGGGCGGGCGGGTTCGCAAGGGATCTTCTGGAACCTGAGCTCATGTCCGTCAATTCTTACCGTCTCAGGCCTGGGCTGCCGGAGTTTTAGGTGTGCCTGAGCCAGTTACAACGCGGTGGATGGGACTCCGTACAGGGCAACGAGACAATCTACAGTATGTCACTACCACGGTGGAGTAGTATCTGGAGATAGCAGCCCACCCACTCAGATCACTCAGATCAAGGACTATGTACGAGTGCCGAGTACCTACATACCTAAGTACTTACATACCTGGCTAGCTGGATATCGTACTTATGTTCAATACAATGATGGTGATGGTGGTGGTAACAGATGGTTGCCTCGCATCCTGTTCGGCGGAATTTCTTTTTTTCCGATCCGCAGCAGCGACGAGGTCAGGTGTATACACTGAGAAGGCTGTCTACTGTACACTGCCAATACTGACCTCAGTCTACAGTTCATTGCCTAGGACAATCAAACCTTGGTCTCCAATCTCATTCTCGATAACGGTCCAATCGCTCCCTTCATCGCTCCTCAATCCCACTAGGCACCTTTTGCCGTGTCGTTGATTACCAGCCCTCCCCTGTTATCTTTGGGATCTGTTCTCCGCCTGCGCGAGACTCAATTCATCAAAATGAATGGCCAATATGCCCTCGTAGAGAGGAGTACAGCTAATGCCTTCTACTTAGGGTCGAGTCACATCCCTCAAGCCTGATGGCGACATTGGATTTAAGATAGAACCGTTGCCTCTCCTTAGGTCCAAGTCCGTAACTCCTAGTAGGTGCCTAGGTGACTCTCTTTCAACTCAAGCGAGATGTGCAGGACCAATCCCACACAGCACTCCGCAGCCCGAAAGCTGACAAAGGGCCGGGCTTGGGCCGACGCTATGTACAGATAGGGCTGACACTCGAGAAGAATTTCATCAGCCTTCATCTTTATCGCCTTCACATATTACTCCTCCGGTTCATCTTTCATTGTCCCTTCCTTGACAGTCAGCAGCAGCCGCTATGGACCAGCGGACTGTCATTGCTCCAGTCAGTGAACAGTCATCCCCCTCCTCCATCTCTCATGCAGCCAACCAACCCGAACCCGAAGACGAAGAGGCTCGCCACAGATGTGTCTCCGCTCTCGGTTTTCGTAAATCAGCCAAACCCCCGACAACGCAATCGAATACATAACCAAGCCATCAAAAGGGCCAAAGCGAATATTGGGAAACGCCGCGACCACATCTTGTCGACGTCCCAAGAAGAGGATACTGATCCGAGGCATCGTCTTGATCCACTACTCGGCTCGACGAAGGCTGGCACTGACCCCAACGTCACGGCTACGGCCATCACGCCGTCGCCGAGATTGACCGTGACATCTGGTGGGTTGCGCGGTGACCCATTCTGTGCTTTCCCAATATCAGCGGATGGGGGTGTCCTTTCCGCTGTCGACTACTGTGAGTTTGGTTGAGTATTGTTCCGTTGGGGGATGTCTGCTAACTCTCGGCTTGCGTGAAGTCCTTCAGCACTATGCGCCGGTTCATATCAATCCGAGAAAGGAGCAGTTAGGTCCAGGGGATAGCTTGCCGCTGTCACGAAGGTACTTTGGTCTCGCGCTGGAGAATGCATCCATGTTTGAACTCATGGTGGCGCTGGCTCAAGCCTCATATGAAGCCCGCCAAGGAAATGCTCGGGGACCAACGAGGGAAGTTTTGGTTCACTATGGCAAAGGAGTCGAAGCTCTGCGTCTGAAAATGGCGCGGAGCTCGGCCTGCGACGACGACGCTACAATCTTGGCTGTCATGGCGCTGCTGGGTATTGCAGTATGTCCGCTCATCTCCCGCAACGGAACGGGTTGTTACTAACACGTGTCAAGTTGATTTACAATGATTTTGCTTCGTTCGAGACGCATTTAATTGGCCTACGCCACCTTGTTGAAATGCGAGGAGGGGTTGATTATTTGGGATGGGACGGCTTCTTGAAGAACGCCATCACTGGGTAAGTCCGGGACGAGATTGGGGCCTTGGGGTTGTGTCTTGACAAAGTTGACTGACAACGATCAGCCTCGAGTCTCTCTGGGCATACCACGAAAACAAGAAACTTATTATTTCTACGACCGAGGCCAGTATCAAGCTCCAGTATCCGAGCCATCCATTTCCTCCGGATCTCTGCGCCTTGATTGCCAAGCTTCCCGACGGATTTCGGGAAGTTGCCCTGTCCGGTCGTCTCTGTGTCCACATCATTACCCTGTTATCAGGCATATCAGAATGGGTCGACCAACTGCAAAGCCCGCGAAAGAAAGCGGTGCTGCCACTGGGAGATCCAAATGGCACGTACCTGAAGCAGACTCACGTATGTCTTGAATTGGTGCCTCTTCGCGGGCTGAACACGCTTGAGAGGGTTCTTTGTTCTGCCCTTGCGGCCATCACAACCGAGACGTTCAACAAATCGAAGCAGCAGAACCCAGTCCATCGACGTTTGATCGAATCACTGTCGGAAATGCTTTGTCGATATAACCTCCGGGATTTGCCGCCCGAATGTACCACATGGATGGCATTAGTCATAGCAGGCCCCGTATTTCCACCTGCTGAGAGAGCCGCGGGCAAGGCGACGGCACTAAGTACAGGCCAGCCGCAAACCCCAAGAACTATTCTTCTAGATAGGATACTCGAGAGTTCAACCAGCGCCAGGAATTGGAAGTGGGTCAAGAAGTCAGTCGCGAAGTTCTTCTGGAGTGAAGACTTACTGGAGACATGGCGACAGACTTGGGAGCTAGGGGTGTTGCGGTACATCGGCAAGGTCAAAGAGAGACAAAAATAAGAGACGAGCCCAGACAACATTTCCCATTCATCGAAGGCCGAACTGGAGGGGCCGACATCTACACTTGATGCCTCCTAGTACAAACTACGCACCTATTGACGACAGTGTGCTACAAAAGGAGGCGGGCGGATAATGAGTTGGTGGCCGTAGCTGAGACCAGGTCGCATTATCGACGCAACCTCATGCAAATCATGTGCACTGGCACTGGTGGCCCCTCGCATAAATGCCACCCCAGCCAGCCTTTTTCAGTTAAGTTGGGCATACTAAGGCCGACATTTGGAGGCCGGGATTGACCAAGGCGCCCGCGTCTGGCGGGAAGACGTTGAAGCTTTGATTCGCCTGGGCGGGAGGATGGGAGCCACTGACGCCACAGGGCCCTGTACTTTCTAAGTCACTGGTCCTCGCAGCTCCTACGACGTCATACTCGTCCCCAGATTCATCGACCTGAACTCGGGCGTATCGTCAATCGCGATCGATGCATCCTCCTCCACCTGGTTAAGCAAGCCACCATCTCTTTTCCAAGGAAGACGCAGTCTGACTCCAAACAATTCTATGGAGGCTGAATGGTGTTTTTACCCTCTCTCATCTTTTATTACTCTTCTCTGACACAACAGCTTTTCGCACCGCTTACACGTTCCCGCCTCCATTCAATCCCTTGCATATAGTTTCGGCTTGGGCAGAGCGAGCACGGTACCATGAAGCACCAACAAAGAATGCCTTGACAATTCTGCGGCTTTTTGTACCACTCCTTCTCTCTTCCTCCAACATCTGTATTTTCGACCGCTCTTGTCTTCCTCCTTGACCATTACCTCCCCCGGTAATCCCCCAGGATGAACGACCCTGGGCTTGACGAACCGATAGCCGATGCCTCTGCCATCCTCAAGGAAAATGTCCAAGACTATCCTCCCGCATCCCATCATAATGCTCAAACCTCATCACCTTCTCGTCAACGAGACAAGTCCCCAGAAGAGATGTACGACAAAATGTCTGAGGAGGAGCAAGAGCGGAACTTTCTTATGCCAGCGAGATGGTGGTACGCCTCCACGGGTATTCCCCTTGTGGCGGGTACGTTTGGGCCCATGGCGAATGCGTTCAGTATTTGTGCGCTGGTGGAGAATTGGCGGGTTGAGATTCCCCCGGGAGGGACAGAGGAGCATGGGATTGACATCACAGACCCTGATTGGTAGGTCATGCTCGCACGATGCAGCCCAGGACAACATATTGTCGAAGGAAACCGAGGGTGGCAGATGCGGGAGAATGCTAAGCAAGATATGATACAGGCTTATCGCTGTCAATGCCGTCTCCTTGGCCTTTGCCCTGGTCGCCAATGTGTCTCTCCTCCTGAACATGGCGCGCCGTGTACCTTTTCAAATCGCCCAACCTATTACCATACTCGGCTTTTGGATCGCCTCAGTGCTCCTGATCGGCCTGGTCGCTAACGCGTCCTTCAACTTTGACGCTCCCGGTGTCAAAAATCAGGCCCTCTCGCAGCCATATTACTACGCCATCTTCGCCGCGGGACTGTATCAGGTTATTTCGTACTCGATGTGTTTTACGGTGTATGGGGCGTACAAGGGTTATTACAGTAAAGAGTTCAAACTTACCGTGGCGCAAAGAACGTTGATGTTACAGACAGTTTTGTTCTTGGTGTATCAACTATTGGGGGCGCTGGTGTATTCACACATTGAGGGATGGAAATTTTTGGATGCGGTATATTGGGCTGAATTTACTTCTCTGACGATTGGGATTGGTGATGATTATACGCCTAAGACTCATTTGGGCAGAGGACTGTTGTTTCCCTTTGCGATGGGCGGCATTATCATCCTGGGTTTGGTGGTCGGATCGATTCGGTCATTGATTCTTGAGAGAGGGAAAAAAAAGATGGCAGCACGGTTAACAGAGAAGACCCGACTGCGACTGATCAAAGAGATTGAGAAGATTAGTAAGAAGAAGGGCCTCTTGAGACACAAGGGTGCACTGGGTCTCGAAAAAAACACCACGAAAGCGTTGACTTTGGACCCAGGGGATGGAGAGATATCCGAGCTGGAGAGGAGACAAGCCGAGTTCGAGGCGATGCGGAAAGTCCAGGAGTGGGCCGCTACTGAGCGCAAGTACATGAGTTTGCTTGTATCGACGTTTGCGTTTGCTTTCTTGGTAGGTGTGACACTTCTTTCCTGCTGGAACGCGCTGACCACGGGTAGTGGACCATTGGGGCATTGGTGCTTGAACACACGGAAAAGAACCAGGGATGGACGTATTTCGATTCACTCTACTTTTCGTATACCACGCTTTTGACCATCGGCTATGGGGATTTCCAACCCATGAGTAACAGTGGCAAGCCTTTTTTTGTCTTCTGGACTCTGCTAGCCGTCCCTACCTTGACAATTCTCATCTCTGACATGGGAGATACCGTGGTGAAAGCTGTCAAAGACGTCACCATCTGGCTGGGGGAGATCACTGTGCTTCCCAGCAGCGAGGATACCATATCAAATCGGCTCAAGCACGGCGTCTACAAGGCCACTCTTGGACAGCTGGATCCTCGAAACCCAGAGTGTCGAGATGTCGAAAAGGGATCGGACACCGCGAGTGAATCCGGGCACCAGGAGCTGCATCCTGGCGTTGCACGGCTGTTCCGCAATAGTCGCCAGAAGCAAAAGACTGGTGAAAACGACAAGAAGATCAAAGATCGTCTGGCTGCCGACTTTGAGGAGGAGGAGAAACGCGACGAGTCCGATGCTAGGGACAGGGGGGACCGTTGGCAAGAAGGTAAAAGCCTTCCATCTTCAGTGCATAGTTCATATTGCTGACCTCGGTGTAAACAGATGCCCACCACTATCGCCATGTGCTGCTCTCTCAGATTCGAAAGGTGTATGCGGATGCTTCAGCAGCAACGCCCAAGACGTACACCTATGAGGAGTGGCAAGACTTTCTCAAGTTGCTGGGTGAGGATGAAGCAGATGCATCATACCACCGACGAGCTCCCGCTCACGGTGGCAAGGGAAATGAAGCTCGAGAGACTGAGAAAGACCAACAGGAAGACAAAGATACCCGGGTTGCCCAATGGAGCTGGATCGACCCACAGAGTCCATTAATGGGTGATAAGGAGGAAGCTGAGTGGTTGCTGGAACGACTCTTCCAGCGGCTGGAAGAAAGTCTGCATTCTGACACAAAGCAGACGGAGAATGCGAAGCATTACACCAGCGATTCCAGACGGCAGAAACGGCGAGAGGAAGACGAGGCAGGGAGTGAGTGAACAGTGTCCCAGGATTGAAAGCCGGGCATTCTGGATCATGCCTGCATGTGCGACGAGGCTCTCCGCCGACAGGGGCGTTGGCCGTAGTTGGAAATCCGAACGCCTTGGACCTAGTTGGGGCGGCGTTTTTTGGCGGGGTCTCCCATGGCGTTTACAACGTCGCGTCGTCGAAGTCGCCGTTCTGAAACAGTATCGCCAGCAGCAATAAGTGTTTTTGAATGTCTGTCGGCCTCAAGATAGGATTCTGATAGCGCCGATCTCGGAAAGCTGCATCCAAACTCTTGCAAACCCAGCTGGCCAGGTTCCCTGGCATTCCGTTTCTCCGGGGCGTTTGCAGACATTTCGCCGATCTGGAGGTTTTTGAGTTTGTCAAGCTTGATCGACCTCGGCATGAGAGCTGCGGAAGTGGTAATGATTTCTGCATGGCGTTGCGGGGGGATACGAAGACAAGAGCATCTGGTGCGGATCCGGTCTGGAGCATATGACAGAGCGATCGGTTCGAAGAGGTCCGGTAGGTAGCTGGTGGTGACGGGTGCGGAGCAGTGGTGATAGGTGGTGGTGGTGCGAGATAGAAGCGGAGGTGAAGTAGCACGCACCTCAGATTTCAGCTTTTCACTCTTTCAATCGCTCATCTCCCTCCACGTCGGAGTATTGCTCGTTGTGTTCTCGGAATCAAATGGTCTGCGTCATGATCCGCCTCTCAGCTTCCCCCACAACGCAACCAGCCAATTTGGAGCCACTGCTTTGGGACACCTAGTGAGCCTGTTCCATCAGCTCGTCTATCTCCAACAGTGCGCAGCTAGACCAAGCACCGCCCTAGTTCTGCTGCTACAGGTACCTCTAGGCCCTACGGATCCTTCACTGACCCTCCATCTCGGCTGTCGACCTGAATCCCTCATCCTCGTTACGAGAAATGGCCACGGTGCCCACACCACGTCGACCAGTTCACGCGAAGTTCCTCCTCTCCCCACACATCCCAGACTCCTGCAGCACCGGACTAGAACATCTCAGCCATTCACGGCGATTTCACTGATTTGGCCGGAGTCTGTCTCTGCCGAGGGGTCTTGCTTCACGCGAATCAACACCTTCTGGAGGGCCTTCCACCCGAGTCATCAACTGTAATCTTTACGTTTTCTGCTTGCGTTCCCAGAGCTCCTCTGACAGTTTCTAATCCGGTTTCATGTCCGCCACTCCTTTGGCCCGCTTGTAACCCCTCACTGTCAGAGCTTCATTGGAACCCGGACCCGGGATGCTGATCGACACACAACCTATCCGTCTGGGGATGTTGGGGGGATGGCAGGGGACGCGGGGTTTCTAAGTCAACAAGAGATACAAATAGCATACGGTCATCGCTCGCAGATACTGTGGCGCCAATCCTCTTCATCTGTTTGTGCCGAACTCAATCGCTTCTTCTACCCATCCGACACAGCCCTTGCCTCAACCGCCTGACAACTATGGGTTCACATCAGATTGAGCAGGTCGATGTCCTGCTCGTTGGAGCTGGCTTTGCTTCTTTCACGTTGCTGAATCGGTAAGAGATGCGATCCGTTGTACGCCATGAGCATGGAGCTGACCGTTACCGGCAAGCCTGCGAAAACTCGGCTACAGTGTCCGCATCTTTGAGAAGGGAGGAGCCAGTGGCGGTATTTGGTACTGGAACTGCTATCCCGGTGCCCGAGTGGATACCGATACGCCCATCTACCAGCTGTTTGATAAGGAACTATGGGAAGATTTCACCTTCAAGGAGCGATACCCGGGATGGCAGGATCTTCGTCGCTATTTCGAACACGTCGAGAAGAAGTGGAATGTTCGTGACCACACCTCTTTCAACAAGAACGTGGACAGCGCTGTCTTTGATGAAGGTCGTCAACAGTGGTTGGTTGAGTGCACGGACGGAACCGAAATCTATGCCAAGTGGTTCATCCCCTGCATCGGGTTCGCCAGCAAAAGATATACGCCTCCGTTTCCCGGTCTCGGTAACTTCAAGGGCGATATCTACCATACTGCCGTGTGGCCCCAGCACGGTGTAAATTTGAAGGGCAAGCGCGTCGCTGAAATCGGCACCGGTGCCTCTGGAATCCAAGTCATTCAGGAGATTGGTCCAGTCGTGAAGGAGTTGACCGTTTACCAGAGAACACCTAATTTGTGCCTGCCGATGAACCAGCGCATGCTCGACCCTCAAGAAGAGGAGGAGAAAAAGAAAAATGGCTGGTATCAGACCGAGATGGAGAAGACCCGCGGCACTTTTGCCGGCTTTAGCTATGACTTTATGGAGAAAAACACCTTTGATGACCCGCCTGAAGAGCGTGAGAAGGTCTACCACAACCTCATGGTCGAGGAGGGTGGTTTCAAGTTCTGGCTTGCGACATACAAGGACATGCTGTTTGACCTCAAAGCCAATGAACCCGCTTACAATTTCTGGCGCCAGCAGGTCTTGAAACGCGTCAAGGACCCCGAGAAGCAAAGACTTTTAGCCCCTGAGGTCGCACCCCATCCGTGGGGCACCAAACGCCCATCCCTTGAACAGAGGTTCTACGAAGTGGTTGATCAACCCAATGTGAAGATCATCGATGTTAATGAGAACCCGATTGAAGAAGTCACAGCCACTGGTCTCAAAACCAAACAGGGGCTGGTCGAGGTGGACGTCATCATCCTGGCCACCGGCTTCGACTCGGTCACAGGTTCGCTGGCTCAACTCAACATCCAAGGCACCAAGGGTGGCACAATTGCCGACCACTGGAAAGACGGCACCAAGACCGCCATGGGAATTGCCATGCCCGAATTTCCCAATATGTTCTTCTTGTACGGACCCCAGGCCCCCACGGCCTTTAGTTCAGGCCCTACGTGCACGCAATTCCAAGCTGAGTGGGTTGAGAAGACGTTCAAGATGATTCAGGACAAGGGCATCACCAGACTTGAAGCCACGCCAGAGTCAGAGGAAGATTGGTGCAAGAGGATGAATGAGAAATGGAATGCGACTCTGTTCCCCTTGGCCAAGAGTTGGTACCAGGGCGCGAACATCCCCGGCCGCAAAGTCGAACCCCTGAACTGGTAAATGATTCCTCCATCCTGTGCGCTTTCCGGTGTGAGAGATCCGCTAACAATCCTGCAGGTCCGGTGGATTGGTTGAGTACGTCAACACTTTGAATCGCAGTCTAGAGAACGATATGCAGGGCTGGAAATACTCCACTGCTACGGCATGAGTATTGGGACAAGCCCGCGGTTCGCGCTTGTGGCCTGCGATGTGATGATGTACAATGAATGATTGTGACAGAAAGCGAGATACCCTAGAGCGGGACGGCAGCTGTATGTTGAAGGCGTCACGGCTCGTTGGATTAGAATGAAGGCGGTATCCGCGTACCCGTACCCGACAGGGGATCCAGCAGTTTATCGTCCGAGGGAGATCAAGGCGCACAGGTCTCTGTGGAGCACTGCACACAGCAAACAATGAACGGCAAGTCAAGTTGTTATGTACCCTACGTTATGACTATGACTATTGATGTTTTCAATTGAATCAGCCCTCTGCTTGAGCATTGAAAGTCTTTACAAACGGTCTCCAGGATCGAGACATCTATTGTACTGGGCTCCAGTCAGGCTGACTGAATCCTTGACTGGCGAGGCTGAGTTCCAATTCTACCTACAGAAGGAACGGGGCCCGGCTTTCTCCCATTACGAGGGATGTTCGCTGCATCACCTCAAGCATTTGCTTCGTCGAGAGATCTGGTCCCACTATACACCACGATCGCTACTGGTATCGATATTATGGCCAGGGGACTACAGACCAAGACGACAATATGCCTCACGAGGGAGATGGAAGAGCAACACGGTCTCTCCCTCTCATCCGGTGGTAGCTTTTTGTTTGTCCCTCTTAACTGTCAGTCGTCTGGATCCGGCGACGACGAAAACATGTTCGACGCCATTCTGCTTGCTTGGACAGCCCGTAATAATGATGTGCGAGTCCAGCCTGACCCCTTATCTAAGGTAAATGAAGACCGGATAAGCAGAGATACCACAGTCTTTATGGTCAAAGAAGGTGGAGTACGAGTACCACTCCCGCTTCCGAGATGGGGTGTACCATCAACAATACCCTGCGCATTTTTTATTCAACTCCCAGATGTAGGGGTCACTCTACTCAACGCTTCCCCAATCCAAGGCCGTTACGACTATCCTCGCTCAATGCTCTTTATGCCTCAGACCCCATCAGAACTCCTGAACACCGGCCAGTTTCGGGGTGGGTTTGGATTCGACGTGGGAGATAGTACAGTCTTTCTCCTTGTCATTGAAGTTGTAACTATGACGACTCTGAGTGCTAGCTATTTCGACGATACCGAACACGTCATCGTTGGCTATAGGATCTTCACTTGCTTTTATGACAATAGGGTAAAGCATCCTAGTCTTCGCCAGGTATGTAGGCAAGGATTACTGGGACCGCGGACAATCTCCGATATGCCCGTTACCGACTCAATTGTTACGGAAGATGTCATCATACCGAATGCAAACAAGCCAAATACTGATGAATTACATGTGTGCTTGAGGCCAATTGGAAGCGGAAACTCAGTATGATAGAAAGGCAGGCGGGCGAAAGTTGTCAGAGGATGAATCTGCCCGCCCGGGGGTTTTGGTGACTTACTGGTTGCTTTCGTCAATGTTGATAGATTACTGTAGCTTTTTAGTTTCCGAGTGATCTGGTAGTCGCTGCCAGGGGCCCCTCCTTCCTTGAGATACAGTGGCCATTTCACCATGAAACCGACCACGATGTGAGACGTTGGGCCCAGAGCAGCTCGGCACCTTATGACCGTTCTCAATATAGAACTTGCCATCAAGCTATCTTCGTCGCCGTGGTTTTGAGATTCGCCAGGTCAGGGCCGCGTTGAGACAATATCAACCTGGCAGGGTTGGACGAAACTCGAAAACTCATCGAAGCTCAAGGGGGCAGTGCGAGATCCCCGCCATGGATATGTCCAGCAGCCAACAAGTCAACACGTGGGTCAAACACACCGTCGACACCTTTAGCTCATTAGACGGAGCGGCAAACCTCGCGGACATCATCCCCCACAATATCAATGTCGATCGAGGTGAAGACCTAGATGACGACAGCTGCTCAACGTCATCAATATCAACCTAGCTGAGATCATATTCTGTATAAGAGCGCAACGGCCGCATCTCAGCCATGGTGGATCGATTGTCAATGCGGCCAGCGTGGCCGGATTGAGGTTTTGCTAACAATGCCGCATACACCGCTTCGAAACACGGAGTCATTGGTCTGAGCGAGTCAGCCGCACGCGAAGTTGGAGACAGACAGGTCTGGATTAACTGCCTGGCCCCGTAAGTGGTTGCAGATCCTAACATTGCCCTTTCTCGACAGCGGACTAATCGATACTCCGACGCAGCGATGGTCATCCCAGACCAGAGGCCACGAGCCACCCTTCTTTCAGCAGCCAATCCAGCAAAAAGGCGGATCCAGAGAGGTCGCCGAACTGATCGCCTGGTCAATGTCGGACGGGTAGGAATTCATCTTCGGGGCCACGTGCAGGTCATTGACGGAGGATAGTGTGCTTGAGCCCGAAGGATGAAAGCACGGAGTGGTGCAACTACTGAATGACCCAAGAAAACTCCATGGCCTGAAGAACTGATGTAACGGTCAGGGGTATCCCCTACTTATATGGAGGTTGCCTATAGCAGGCTTGCCTGACTTCCGTCACAAGAAGCCTGTGATGCTCCATGCGGATAGCACGTTCGACTACTACAGCTCAAACCCTTTGTCGCTGATCCCGACGTCCTACACCTCATCATGTTTCTTGAGTCAAGCAAAGCATCCTGCTAGCATCGACTATCTAGAACTAAACAATACAGTCTCAAATTGAGGCATGCCAGAAAGAAGGCTGAGAAGAAGTCCTCTCTCTCCTCACGGAACCCGCCTTCACGCTGAGCTCGGGTATCTCCCGCACCACCCAAGCCTTCATATATTTCATCTATCCCTCGGGATCCCACATCGCGGCGTCGTCAGGGCTTGTGAGATTGGAATGCCATAGTAGATTGGTAAGTGCCAAGCTCATTTCCATCCATGAAAGGTTGTGCCGGTGACCAATTAGCACACAAAAAGAGGGGTCGACAAAAATACGCCGGACGTAGACCTACTTTTTACCCAAGCACACGCGGGGTCTTATCGAGAAAGGTTGGGTGGCTTTCTTCTGGTCGGTCGAATAAGCATCAACGAGCTACCGCTCTGGGATAAAACTCTTCCTGCTGCCAAAAATTTGCCGGATTCTCCAATGCCGCCCAGAAGCTGACAGAGACCATCGTTCCCCCAGAGACCATGGAATTGTCGATATTGTCGCCGCCTGGAGGTACAGTTCTCAGCAATCCGGGGGTGACTGGAGAATGCACTCGGAGACCTTCGTTGATGCAGGCGTTCAGGTATGGCAGCTTCGCAGTCCGGTCGTGGATAATGCCTTCTTGTGTCGCCAATTCCGACCTTATTTCACGCACCAGCCGACCGTACGTTCTCGGATCACGGAGCAGTCCCGCTGTCAGTCCAGAAAGGGCATTTGCCGTGGCTTCACTCCCCACGAGACTGTGATTTGGTTAAAACCGATCCAGGTCTGAAAGGGCGAGCAGCGGATGCGAGCTGCTGACATGAATAACGTCGAATTGGCGATGATTTCTTCTTCCCGCAGCTCAAACTTGTCTTTTTGCTTCAGGACGTACCAAACGAAGTCTCTCCGGTCGTCGTTGGCACTCGTTAGTCGCCAACGGGTGTGAAGCGAGTTCGGGAAAGAGACACACTTCTTGACCAGTTCTCGCCTAAACTCCTAGTGTGGCTGATTGGGTGCTCTGATATCGCCAAAGTGCCACAACAGCGAGAAGGGTGCCAGTGGTGGCGAATGTCGGGTCGACTGCACCAATACGCTACCTTCCACGGCGGCGAAACACCAGAGCAACCAAGGAATGGTAGGGCCGCGGTCGAGGCAGCCATAGTACTCTTTGAAGGCTAGGCCACCAATCGCGTCGAAGGTGAGAAAGCTTACCATTCGGCCAGATTGAATGCCTGGCCGCGTTTGGCGAATTCGGTGATCTTTTTAATAGTTTGTTGGCATGGCCGACGATGATGGGCTCCTGCTCATTGAGAGCCTTGGAGAGGAAAGAGCAGCCTAAGCCTCGTCGTTGCTAAGCGTGCGTTGCTTCGTCCGGCTCATACTGCATGTTCACCGCCCCTTTCACCGCTTTCACAGCGCCGGCATACACCGGATCTCTGGCCATGTTTGGCTTTCCGTGCCGGTAGCCATAGATGGCTTTTCATACTTGGACACTTTTTGACGCCAATTCATTAGGACTCACTCGGACAACTAGTCCGGCACACCAGTCATCAGCTTGTGACGGACTTGCCCAATAGCTTTGCCGCACCATACATGTCGTGGAGTCTTCGTATCCATACCATGCGACCGCGCAGCAGTGAGAAGATGGCTGGGTTTGGAACACCACTTGTTTATGAATGGACCTGGGAATTTGGCTAGCGAGAGAAATGTGACTCTGTAGATGATGAGACTGGATAAGTAGAACAACGTCACCTTTTGGAATCCCCTGGTTAGAGAAGCGAGCGAGAAGACGCGGTGCTTCACGTACGGCTGATGCGCTGAGAGCGAAAAGTAGCATTATATTCCCACCATCGACGATGTTCTTCCAGGTAGACATGATCCTTGTGACACCGCTGTCAACTGAAATCGAGAGGCTTGGTGAGAAAGTCAGCCTGGCCCGACTTGTCCGTAAAGGAGTTGTCAAACGTGACTGTAGGGAAGCCACCACCGACAGTCCTAGGGTGCAAAAAGGTCGGGGCGGGTGCCCACGGATTAATTGCGCTTCTCGATCAGTTAGCCTATATAGATAAGTTATACCCCTCGGGGTATAGTTAGATACATCATCGCGTTCAAGTTAAGTGTTTCAGTCCGAGGACGACACTCATGACCACTTCGCGCACTCGTAGAGAGACCTTCCTACCTCCCCTTCGGCTCTCTGTGTGGGGCATTTGTTCCAGCCGAGGATCGAGCACCTACCCACGATAGCGACTGCCCTCGGGAGCCCATAACCGGTGGTGCAACGGAAATAAGGTTCCTTTGATAGTTAGCGTCGATGGAACAGTGTCAATCTTGAATCTGATTCTGTTCCTGTCTGTGACGATGGCTATCCGCTTCAGCGGATCTTTCCACAATGTATGCATGCTTGGTGCTTGGACTCCGCCGTGGGCAACCTAGATGACAATACCACTAGGGCCAGTATATCGATTCCCAATCGCCCCCTTATGACCTTTGTTACGTCTCATTTTACTTGTCGCCGAGGCGCTGCTTGGTCACACCTATCCATCTTACCAGCCGGAGCCAGACTCAGGTGGGACTAAAAGTTTGTCGGCAAGTCTCCTGGAACAATGCGTTTGGAAAGAGAGGATGACACCGCCGTTGAGGGAGCTTCGTCTAAACAGGCAACAGAGCCCGTTCAGGGCAATGAGCGAGCTGAATGCCACGGACTTGTGACCGACATTGAACATGTGCCCCCAGGCTATTTCGTAGGTAAATATTTCATTGGCACCTATGTTGCTCGTTGCTTCACCCTCTTAGGCGGCTTGGGTGGCTAATTTGATTACCCCGATTCTCAACTTCATCGATGAAGATCTTGGGCCGAGCGACAGTCCTTTGGCTCGCCCTCGTCTACACGCTGGGTCTGGCAGTCGGCCCGGGCCTGATGGGGCGGATCACCGATATTTTCGGTCGCCGGTGGTTCATGGTTCGCGCGAAGCTCCTGGGCTTGGAATGGGGCGGCACCCTGTACCCGTGGCGTGATGGACACGTCATTGGCACCATGGTCGCAGGATGAGTGCTCATTATTGCGCTCCCGTTCTACGAGATATTTTCTGAAATCAAGGATTCCTTTATTCCTTGCATCTTTTCAAATCCTCGGGCTGGATTGTGTCTATGCTATCGTCTGGGATTGGGGCAACCGTCTATTATAGGCTTTCCATCATCTGGCCCAGTATGGTGCAGATTATATTCGCCAACGGTGATCAGACCTGGGCCGGGTGGGCATCCTGCCTCGTCGCCATGGCATCGCCGTGGACCAGATCATCGGCGGCATGATGACGATGACAGTCACCAAGTAGAAGTATCAGTGCGTGGTGGTGGTGATCGGCGGAACCATCTTCCTAGGAGGTAAGCCTTGCTACACGTGAAGGTGGGTAAGGAGAAGTACTGACACCAGGGTAGCTCTGGCAACATGCCACGTGGATGATAGTGGATGACAGTGGGATGGCTATGGTCTTTGTCTTCGTATCGTGCCTCTTGATCGGGTGGAACGAGGCTGTCGTCGCTATATTGATCTCGGTCTGCATCAGAGATCAGCACGACTTTGGTGCTGCCACCCGCCTTTCGGGCTGCACCCGCTCCCTCCTGGGCTCGATATCAGCGGCAATCTACTATGCCGTGCTCCGTAGCCGGCTGACTGTTACTGTGCCGGCGGAAGTTGTTCCTGCAGTCACCCAAGCTGGTCTGCCCGCCCGCTCGGTCTTCGCATTCCTTGAGGCTCTCTCGATCGGGACGGGCCAGGCGTTTGCTTCGGTCAAGGACGTCACTCCGCAAATCACCGCCACCGGCACTGAAGTACAAGGTGGCGAATATAGACGCCTGTCGCACGGTTTTTCTCTCGAGCCTGGGCTTTGGGGGACTTGCTATCATTTTGCACCTTTTCATCCCCAACGTGGGTGACCTCCTAACATCAGATATCGCTGTCACATTGCACGCAGTGGGCGATCAAGATGCCACCGGTACGGTTGGGGAATAGCCGCTGCATGTTGGGAGCACACACGTGGAACGTCTCAACCGATAGCTGTGATGCGTCCAATATGGACACATTCCAGAGAGATCTTGAGGGGAGACGTCGTCTCCTCGTTGTCGTTGGAGACTTTATTTCCATCTCAAAGCCAGGTCGCGACAATTAGTGGCCTAGGAGATTGGTTCCGTTGAATTTACAGATTTACTATCCAACAATCAATGCGATGGAAGTGGGAACTTTCCGTGACCCCCTGACTGCGGCGATATTGAAATTAAGTTTTGATATTCAGAGACGTCCCCACTCCACAGGAGATGATCACCGAGGTCGTGGATGCAGCGAATCTCCAAGTGGAGCCTGTTCTCCACAAAGGATGGAGGATAATTATCCGGTGGGGGGTAGGGGACTCGGGGCGAAGAACCGCTGGTACAAGGGCGAGAGAGTTGTTGCTGTCTCGAAGTACCGTATGGCCCTCAATCCCTCTCCTAAGTGACTGCAGCATATAGCGATGGCATTTTGAAGTATCGCCCCAGCATCATAGTGCGTACCGTAGACCACTACTGAGTCCCATCTTTTTGCCCAAGATTCAGGAATTGTCGTCGTAGTGGAGGACCCGCTCCAGACCTTCCACAGCCCCAGATGACTTATCCGTAGATATCGACGGTAGAATCTTCCTGCTGTGCCTGGACTCTGCGGACGGCGTTTTCGTTGATGAGAAGATTCTGATATAGTACGTCATGGAAAGAAGGTGGTGTTTAACCTTATTCCATTGGTTTGCACAGGTCATTTGTGAGGGCAGTGCCTCACCTTGAGCAATCTGTTAGGACATCTACAATTATCCCGGAGCCCTGCAGAACAAACACAGCAAAGAGGCCAAGACGCTAAACGGGAGAGGAACGTATAAAGGCCGCACCCTCTCCCCTTTTCTGCTCAAAGCCTCTTTAAGGCTTTGAGTCTCTGTAGATACGCCGAGTATACGAAGGATATTGCTACTAAATACTTTCATCGATCTCTCTATTCTTAGATCGCCTTCTCTTACACAATCATTGCCATCCCAGCAGGAATACTAACCTCTCCTCTTACAAACGTAACTTGCCTTCGTCGAGGTCGAAGGATTCGTGCAATTTTAATTGCCAATGAATACTATTTTCTCTCTATCGTCTATATGCAAGTGCCATATTGTTGAGCAGAGCATCTATAAAAGCTGGAGCAGCCTGTCCCATGTGAGTTGAACAGCTCATCAAGGTATTCAGACATCCTCTATGATATTTTGATGGGCTGCGCCGATGGTAGTTCAAGCTTCATTATTCTCATCATTGCGAGAAGAACAGGGGGGACTAGTCGAAGCAGCTGTGACAGTGACTGAGAGACCCCGAAATGGCCCATGGCACTCACGGGTGAAGAATAGTGAGCGATGTAGGAAAGGTACAGGAGCCTGATGGTGGTATATCGAGTGTGCGTGCAGTGTTTCCGTCTTTCCAGCCATGTCAATTCGCCCGGCCATCTCTCTTTTTCCCGCACTGGCAAATATATGCTACAGAAGTACTTTAGACTATCAATTTCATCTATCTCTTTAAAAAAAGAATTTGCGAGGTCTGATTTGTCCCTACCGTCTTTATTTGCTCACTCAGCGTTACTGTGATGGCGCTAACTATGGCGCCAGATGCAACTCCAGCCGGTATCCTCCCCGCTAGTCTAGAAAGTTACATCAGCCGGTTCGCCAGTCTGTTCCTGATCATGTCGAATGCTCAGAACCTAATTCATCTTGCCAATTGCCCGCTAGAGACTAATGAGTAACGAACGGGAAGGATAAAGAGCAGTTGAATGGTTCCTTGAACACATCGATAGTTCGTAAGTGTTCCATGAAGTTACATACTAAGCTTTTCGGTTGCAACTGGATGGCTTGGGCATGGTGTTTCCCACGTTTGAAATATGTCGAATTCAACGTGTTATTTATGCTCTTTGTGCTCTTCATGTACAGTTTAATGCTGGCGAGATTAATCAAATAGAGTCTGTTTCGCTTCTGTAAGACTGCACTCTTTGTCCGTATTTCATAGTCAGCCCAGCGTGTATAGCTGGTTAGACAGTTCGTGCTATATCACGACCCTGACTTTAAAGCGAGTGATCAATAACCTCGCGGCGGTGACAAAAAATACCCCAGCTAGTAAGGTAACTCCCGTGAATATTTTTAAGCCGGTATATCCTCCATCTTCAAGCGAAACGATTGCTCCACCAACTGGATTCCCCGCAAGCAACGGAAACGAAACTGACATAAAGAAAGTCCCATACCGAACTCCCAACTCACGGATAGGACAATCATAAATGACCAGTGACGAAACCATGGTGAATATACCGCCACCAAAAGCACCGTACAGTCCAGCAAAAGCCGCTAGAGCCGCATCTGATTTTGCAGGTAGCCATAATGCAAGGCAGAGCACACCCGATACTGTCGATATGATTATGAAAATGTTGTACCCGCCGTAACGAATGGCTAGATGGCCCGGTATGAGACGTCCAGGTACACTAGTAGCTTCTCAGCACACATACCTTGTATTACCTCCCCGGAAGCGTGTGGCATGGCTCACCTTGCTGCATTCATAATCGGCACTAGATATTGAACAAACGTCGAGGACATTCCAGCCTCTCTAGCCTGTACAATGACGTAGTTGTAAGGTAAGAATATGCTGAAGTATACCAGGCATGTGCCTAACACGGTCAGAGAAAAGGGAAGCTTGGCGAAAGGCTTGGTAAACTCTGAAATGCGTAGTGGTTGAGGCTGTGGTGGAATCCGGGATTTAACCGTCAAGTTTACAAGAACCAAAAGACCCAGGTTCAGGAAAGCAGCGATTCTAACTGCCCATGGAAACCCCAAAGACGGCATGATGCGATCCATCATGATCGGGAAGATGACTCCACCAAGGCTGGATCCACACACAGCAATAGCTATTACTAGGGGATAACGTATTTTAAACCAAGTCCCCAAGACACCTGCGGCTGAGGCAAAATCAGTATGTGAGGGCATGTTAGGAAGTACGAGCACTGATACATACTAGTGAAGAAAACAAGACACAGTCCCACAGCCCAGCAGATACTTTGGGAAAGAAAGATCTGATAATACTCTTTGGAGATGGACGTCATCATCATCCCAAGGACAGTGAGAAATGAGCCTACCAACAGAGGCCACCTTGGTCCATAGCTATCATATAGCTTTCCCGAGACAACTCCCTGTGAGTATCACAGTCAGGATTCTATGCCCTAGTAAAGTGGGTCTGCGACCTACCATGATATATAGCACAAATGACTGGACGGAGGAAATCCAGGCAATGGAACTCGGGGACATTCCACGGAGTAGATCATTCTGGTAATAATCTTGGAATATGCCGATGCCTGCACTCTCAATGGGGGCCGGAGATCAGCTAAAGTTCTTGTAGGTGTTAAAGGGAGTTGGCGCAAGATCAGATTTGGCCAGAAGGAGACAAATAGCCGCAATCAAGACTCACATTGCAACCAGCCAAAACTGCACATAAAGGCAAAGAATGATCCGAAAACCACTATCCATGCTTCCCAACCACCATCCGGGGGAGTTTCTGGCTCAAATGCATCTGGAGCGGTTGCTTCGTTGATAGTGATATCCTCGACTTTGAGATCCTTCATGCACGTTGGTTCTCCCAGCGCCATCAAGATGCTTCCAGGCGATTCGTCTCGGCTCTTCAAGATCTGGAAGCTGTTCTGTGCCATGGCAGGTTGTCACGAGTAACCGCAATAGTTCTCGGTACGTACCGGGCCTGCTTCAATGCATATAGTCTCGGAAAGCAGTGCGGGGACGGCGATGACCGACAATTTTCTCCAAGATGTGAAATTGGAAAACGTAATACCCGAGGGAGCCATGGCAGTGCTGTGCTAGTAGCCGCCCGCATGAGAACTTGGTAACCGAAGGGACTGTCCTATGGAAAGATACACGACTCTTAGTCCTTTAGGAGAAGATGTACGCGATGCCGGGCACTGGCAGATAGAGTCGAATATCTGCACCATCACCGCTGCACTCGGTATTACAACGCATATGTGAGTCGGCAAATCTCTGGGCAAAAACCGTTTCTTAATATATGTAGCGAGAGCTCGAGTCAGAGATTTCGAAATAAAATTGCGGGTCTGTATCATAGCTCTGTCTCGGAGAGAAAACCTGTTGGAGCATCTTGTCTTGAGCATTCGTTGGATTTCGGATACAAAATCGCCGCAGCCATTCAGTCCTAAAATTGTCCTCATTGAACATGATGTACCAGTCGCTCATCGTTTTGCTGCATAGGCCTTTTGTGTGACCAGTATTGAATACCAGGGCATCAACTTAGCCACGAGATAGACAGACGTCTCCGAGAGCACATCAATGCTCTCTACCATCTGAACAGTTCTCGGTGCTACAAGTGGCGCAGACAAAGCGCAGAGGAGCTGCCTATAAAATGTCGGCAAGCGAACGCTTGAGGAAGGATTAGATGGGAATGATCAAATGAACCAATTCCCTCCGGCTGTCAACTAATAGAAATATCTACTAGGTCCACTTCTTCTTTGTCGTGCAGCTCCAGAACCTCAGCATACATCAGTCCATCAACGTATGCCTCTCCAACAAGTGTAGCATGACCTCTGGCGATTGAGTCAGGCCGAAGTACGAATGAGACAACACAATTGTCAAAGATACAAACGACGTCCCCTGCCTCAGCGCTCGGACGAGTATACCCCAAGCGATAATTTTCAGTCTCAATAAAAGCTCTATCCGTTCGTGCGCCAATGATTGGATAGTTCTGCACCGGCTTGGTGTTATCGCTTCGCTCTGTCTCAACTAGCTCTTTTAGATACTCTCTCTGGGCATGGTATAGTTCGAGACTGTCTCCAACGGCTTTCTGATACATCCTATGCTCAGTCAGGCATCTGTTAGCTATCAACGTTCGGCTGAATATCCGTAAGATGACTTGTTTAGGAAGTGGGAGAAGCCGTTCAGCCATTTGCAGACAGTGGTCCTCCCAAGCTCCAGATTGTCCTAGGGGCTCGGGCAGTTGGCATCCATCTATTTTTCCAATTACCTTGTCGACCAGAAACCTTTCCACGTAAGAATATTTCTGCCGGAATCCGCCGACAAGATAGGCTTCTCGAGAAATGGTTTTCTGAAACCTGCATGAAATCCAGATGCCGGACCATTGATTCCCCCAAATTGGTTAATCGGCGCAGCAAGTTGGAAGTCTGCATACCAAGATGGAAGGCCAACAAGTCGCTGGGCTTCTGCCCCTTCTACCTGACTCAGAAGATCCAGCCTAAAATCGAACCTGAGACAATGCTGAATGAGATCGGCATAAGCCTTTGGCAGGAGGAAAGTTGGAGTGACAGTGGCCGCATCCCGAACTCGTTGCGGCACCAGGCCAAGAATGCTATACACTCCAATCCGGTGGATTAGTGACCTCTTTGCGCCAGGCTACATGCAGCAGCCCTGACATTGGCACCGTGTTATCGGTACTTTGGGGCATTTTGGTCTTACACCATTCAAAGTTTGACACGATATTCAGGGCTTTGAAGATCTCCTCGATCTTGTAGTCTTTGCCTCTGAGAAGTGAGTAAAAGTTCCGGCGAAGGATGATGTGTTCCATTTTGATGAGGGTTGCCCAGTCGACAGTCGCTGGCCCACAGTCGAGCCTGATTTCCCTTGCGAGCAGCACCTCCTGGAGAACCCATAGTCGCCTGAACCAAGGACGATGAATGATACGACCAAACGCTGACCAAAAGCCAGATGCGGGAGAAGGAAGGACCGACACACATCCGGAGTCATTCTCTAGGGCATCCTGACCTCGAACGGGATTGATCGACTCCGCCCGGTGGAAAGCCTCGACAACGCTTGACATGGAGGAGACCATTTCTTGTTCATCTTTGGACCCGTCTCCTAGCCAGGCGTATACAGTGGATGCCTGCGCGTAAATTCGCCGCATCAACGGAATTTGATGGGCTTTCTCTGTTCTATCTTCTTGATTAATGCAAATCGGTGTGATGTGGGCGAAAAGGCGAGCCAGGCTACGTTGATGGTTCCGGTGCAGACTAGGTCGATCCAAGCGAGAAGGGTCGGCAAATCAATAAATCGTTGGCACAATCGGTCAAGATTTACTACAAGAACTAAGAGTAAATGTAGCCGTTCCTTAGGTACTTTCGTAATATATATAAGGTAGCTAGGGAAGCTCTTTGCTCACACCAATCTAGTACCTCATCCGCACCTCACCCCAACCTGGTGCCTCATCCCGATTTGGCTTCTCATCCTAATCTAACTCCTGATCCTGAACGGGCTCTTGATCCAAAACGCGAGGAATGCGTCAGGAGCTCGAAAATTCACCTTGAGTTGAATCGATCACTTTTATCTGCTTCTGGTGATTTATGTCGTGTGCTAGATACTTCGATATCTCAAGAGCTTGGGAAGATCGATGGCTTTTGAAGGGGAAAGGGGCTGTTGCATTACATCGTCAAGGAAGAAAGATCACCTAGGGTAGAGGAAGGATGGAAATCCTTCACGTTTGGCTCGCTAAAGTAGCTGTGCCCTATTTACGTGTGTCGTCGCATGGCTCTCCCACTTTAATAGGTTCCTGTCTCGATCCAAGCATGAAGTCAAGCTCTTCCAGATCTTGTTTATCCCATTCAATTTTCGTTACTCTACCTATCGCTCTCCGATAGGCAATATTATCGTTCCGTTCAATGCAGAACACATTCTAGAATTCGTAAAGGGGTGAGTTCGGCTGCAAACGTTGAATGAGCATCCATTCTTCTAACACCCGGCCACCATACTCATTCCTGGAGTTAGAAGCTGGGGGCAGCACTGGTCCAGGTATATCTCCATCCGACAAAACCATGGCCTCCCCACACGATATTGCGATGAATTCGTAACAAGCCTGGGAGGGTCCCTGTGTCAAAATGGGATCGCTTTGATGGAGACGTACTGCTCCAAGCCACTTGCCAAGCGTATCTTGCAGGTTTACACATAGAGATCCAGCTTGCGGAGCAATTTGAAGCCAGAATCTGGGAGCTTTGAAATAAAGAACAGGTTCAAATCCTTTCTCAGTAGGACTGACTGTTCGTGCTCCGAGAGAAAGGGGATATCGGAACCTGGTTTCGCCTTTGTCGTGCTGCTTCCAGTAGTAGAAATGGCCAATCGCGTTGAATGACCAATCTTGAGGTAATTCTAGATTCAGATTCCCTTCATGTGTTTGATAGTGATGATAAGAATTGTCGATTGGCACCAAAAGGCGATCGGTAATCCTTTTTTTTGCGCCACTTCACCAAAGGAGTGACCTTTATGTAATCGTCCAACATTGCTCGACCAAGAGGCACATGAAAATGATTGAAGCATTTTCGCCAGATGCTACTGTCGATTTCGCCATTCCATCCGGCCCAAGACCAACTGGGAAAGTGGACATTCCTTTTTCCTTCCTTTTGTCTATTTTTCCTGGAGGCATCTGGACATGACAGCCACAGTAGAGCTATGTCGAAGAACATTTCTGGCATCCCGTAGAAGAAAAGACTATTGAAACCTCCTCCAATGACACTCTGAACTCCAGTGAAAGCATTCAGCACGTCCGAATCGTAAGTCAGACAGCGAGTCTGATAGAGAGTGACGAGTTCTGTCCAACCATGGAGGTTAGGTATCTCTTGACAGTTAAACATCTCATGCATTGAACTCGTCAGTCCTTGAATGAAGATAGAGCGAAGCTGCGCTCCTTGTTTGTAGTTAGGCCATTTACGGGGAAGCTCGATCTCCTCATAACATTGGCCCATGTTGCACACTCAAGAAATGAGACCATCAAATATCAACATGCGTTTGGAGAACAAAGCTTCTTGAAAAGTCCAAGCACGTTTTGCCCCGGGGGAATTCGCACCGTCTGCACTGCGATGAATGTACTCCAAAAGAATTGAACCCGGCAAATTAAGTCGTGCAAGAGGCATGTCCCTAGATTGAACTCCAATTCCACCTAATCCATGGTTGGCAGTAGTTCCCCCTGCTGCCACGATCGTGAAATAGGCGTTTGGCATATACTGTTGGCATAGCCCGAAGAAGAGAATTCGTCAACGTTGGTGCTATCCTGGACAACGCATAGACTGTCGACCCAAAGATACCTTATCTTTAGACACCTAGTAAGGTGCATGGCGTCTCTTATGTTTGTGGAATCTTTTTGCCGAAGTTGGTGTCTGACAAAGCATGCCGCCGGCACAGATCTTTCAAATTCTTTGAAATTGATTTGAAATCTTCCACTCCTCCCCAAACATAGCTGAGAGCAAGGTAACGAACTTCTTCTGATGTTGAAATAAGGCATTGTGCATCCACATCAATGAAAAAGAGCATGCGTAGTTTTGGTAACTTCGGAATGGATGTAGTCGTGCACTTCCTGCCGTGCGCGTCACATTCACGAATCCAAGTTTCTATCAATGAGAGATCTACTTGTGTCAAGACATTTCTCGCATATTTCCTGTCAGGGAATATCGGCTTTGTTGGCAGGAATGTCACGAATTGCTCATGCTTAGTTTCCTTGATGCTGGGTATAGTATCAGCACAGATTAAGTCGAACGCCCACTTGAAGCTACCTCCGCGGAACACAAGAACGACTCGTTAGAGGTTTCTGGGAACTTTGCTGTGATCACAGTCGACAACGAAACAAAAGAAGGACATTTCGATTTCTGCTTGATGGATTCGATCGATCCAAGGAGGACGTGGACTGCACTGAGCTTTAGAAGAAGGATCTTTTTCACCAAATCGTCGAGCACAGAGCAGCCATAGCAGAAGTCGTCCAAGGCCCTTTGTCGTTCCTGCAGGCGTCTGATCAGCCGCTAGTCAGTGTTTACTGGGTGGAAGATAGCATCCGTCATCTCACCCTTAGGAATTCAATGAAAGATTTGAATTTGTCCGAGCCACCACTTGAAGTTGAGCACACAGGCGCGCAAATTGGGATAGGAATTTGGTCAAAAGTTATCCAGGGTAGTCCCCCATCCTCTAGAATCCATATAGACGGTCTATCGTCAGTACGTTGAGTGTCCATTGCTGGAAAGAAGGAAATCAGGAGTGGTGCTGGAGGACAGACACTCTACGAATTAGACATTAGTACGTGGCGGGAACAGTTTGTCAGAACGCTGTTGGCAGTGGGGAGGTAAGGGTGACTAAAGGCGCCCAGCTGAATAGTAGAAAGGGGAGAGGGCGCCTGTCTCCACCGCAGCCAATGTGGCACATTAGATCAGTCAACACCTCTTGATAACACGAGCGCACGCGTAGCGGAATCCTCCGGCGCCTCTTCTGGCGTCCAGACCAAGATACACTATGGTGCGATAGATCAGAAACCCTAGGCATCAGTACAGGAGCAGGGGTCGACCACGATCATAAGCTGGTCTGAAACGGGTGCCTAGCCGGGAGACAAGTATAGCCGATCACTGAAGATACATGCATATTGCGTCGATCCATATTGGTTTGTTCAGGTCTTCGCGTACAAATTGTCGCAACGACATGCAGAGATTCTGTTGGACTTGGACGTTCTGGCCGAAGCATACCAGGCTTATGGTCGCTGATCCAGGCTTATCCCAAGCATATGAAAGTGCGACATACTCAGGACAATTCTTGATATCGTACACGGTCAAACTTCCTGTTAGTTGGTCTTCTCGCAGGTCCAAACTCAGAAGTCGGATGTGATCCCTGGATGGTAAACCTTGATAAGTATAAGGAGACGCCATGGCAGTTTAAAAGATGGGCAGAACAGGCTTTGGAGGTTTCCTGCTCATGGATTGGCAGGGCAATCAAAACTCAACAGGCGTCGTGCTTGGAGGACCGACCAGAGGAGACTACAGGTCCAAAATCTGTGCATTTCCCCGGATCTTGCGGATGACATCGCCAAAACCGACAGCTCGGCATTGTCGGTCGGCCTTGTCGCCGTGGCTGTGGAGGGAAGTTTCCCTAGTGATCAAGCGAATCTTGCTCTGGACCGCAACTGCCGTTCGGAGGAGAAAGACTCCCCGGCCGCTGCCTTCCAGATTTGGAATCGAGCCGTGCATTGTCTGGTGCTGTCTTGGGTTCGCGGAGAAGAACAAGGAGATCACTATCAGCTATGTCGTCGAGAGGGGACGCTGTCGATGAGGACGGCGGGCTCGGCCCGGTTGGCGAAAGAGACGAAACTCATCGTGCTACAATAAAATGACACCTCCCTGCCTACTCACCTGCTCTCCAGCCGGTCTTTAGCCACATAGTCTCTCCGAATGGAATGAATGAACGGGGTTGTTATGGCAGCCGCTGGATACATATATCAAAGCCGGGTCGGCACTCCCTCATTCCGCATACAGAGTTCACAACGGCTCCGCCCCTCGCAGCAGCCAGCTGGACGTTCTTCGCATGGAACCATTAAATCTTGGGTGTAAGGATTGAGGTTAATAGGTTGGAGAAGATGTGATTGTCAGCTAATCTAATGCACAATCCAGGTATGTCGTTTCGTGTCAGTCCCCCTATTCCTCTTTGGCAACTTCATCATACCCTGATGAACCCCCGCAGAATCACGTAGTTCTGCGCCGCTTGTTCCGGGCATGTCGCGACCAAACGGAATATTCAGGCAATCGCTCATCAATATCAATGTGAGTCTTGCCCCCTCCGAGAAGCCACCGCGTCAACGAACCATGGCGCCAAGAACTTACATATCATATATGCTGTGAATGGCCAGATTTTTGAAGTCATTCCGGACCTGCATCAGAAGAATTTCCAGTTCTTGTCAGCTCATCAGCCGATAAAGTCACAGAACATTCGGAAGCTGGGTCCATGAGTCTCTCGTGCAGCTGGACGATGTCGAGATGGCCAATTCATTTCTGCATGCAGAGAAACACGGAGAGCAAGGGAACTAAGCTTGGTCCTAGCTTATTCCGAAAGGACGAAGAGAGGGAAGGGCGGAAGGGGGAGAAAAGGAGGGAATACGTCAACACTGGC